TATGCTCCTTAAATATTGATAGTAATTCACCAGTCACCCTGTATATTAATTAATTAATTAATAATAATAAGCCAACCTCCCCAGTTAAGTTATTAATTTACTGGGGGGCTTAAGCTTATAGAAATATAAGATATTGCTTAAGCTTAAGAAATAATAATCAAACTGCAATTTAAAATCATAATATTTGGATTCGGGTTGGTTTGAGGATTTAATATCAGATTAATGAGCCTATCCTTAGAAATAACATTAAATTGTGGGGATAAAAGGAATAAAAATATTGACTACTTCGTTTCATACAAGTAAAAAGAAACCGTTTATTACAATACATTATTATTATTTACATTTTACTACCTTACTAAAGTAAAAAACTTTAAGATTCATGATAATTAAAGGAATAAGTCCAATAAAAAATCTTTTTCAATTCAATAGTACTATTTTGAAAAAAAAATCTAATAAAAAAAATCGCATGTGAGCCCCAAATATTTTTTTAATAAGTGGTAACTATATTATGTTCCATGTTTTTAAGTTATTTGGTTAAAATAATATACGTTTCAGTTACCGCTCATTACTTTGGATGCTAGCCAAATACTGATACCCGGCTATGTAATGTAATAATGCGGGCACCATTGTACGTACCAAATTATATCGTATATTGTGTATGATAACAAAAATTACTTTTGTTTGTAGGAGGATTTTACCTTTACGTGGAACTAATAATATATGGAAAATATTATAGACAATTTGTTTCTTTGTAGAAAAAGAATAATATTGTATTTTATTTTTACAAACAGAGATATTGTATCAAGAAAAAGGAGCAATTAAACGTTTGATTTATATTCCAATTATCAGATATGGATGCCGAAAACATCATCTGCTAAGGTTTTATTTCTTTTAATTATTATTTAATATAGTAATTATGTTACAGGGCGTTAAAACTTGTATTGGGTTTGTAATAACGTGATAGTGATCTTTTGTGACACATTTATATAATGTAAAAATTTTATGTTTTGCCACCATAAATTAACCAGTTATTAAAATGTTTAAAATTGTGACTTCCACTTAAACAACTTGCCCAGCAAATTTTTTATAAATCACCAAATGTTATGTTTTATATGCTATATCAAAATTTTATTTATTGATATATCAATTAAGAAAAAAAAACATCGAAACAGAAAATCTTTAATAATTTAGAATTTTTATTAAAATTCATGAACTTTGAATAATGACAATTAAGTTTTCCTTTTTTATACGTCAATTTATTATATATTTATGTGGTTATTATTCAATACTTAAGCTAAAAAATCTGTAATTTCTGACTAACTCTACGGAAACTTTTTAATCAACTTTTCTTTTAAAATAACCTTATTATAATCAAAGAAGAACTTAATTTATCCTGTGAATAGATTTTCATAGGCGTTGTGGATTTTTATATTAAAACAAAGAGTAAATATTTTACAAATATTAAATTATATATATAAAGAATAGAAAGACAGTCGAAAAGAATCAGTTCGTAACCTCGTTAGTGTTTTCAAATCAGTTTTTGAATCTAAAGTATGGACTATGACCCCAATCATGTCGCAGATTCCAGTCTTCACAATTGCAACTTCATTGGAATTTCACGAAAATTTCCTCGGACCCAACCGCATACATTCTGTCGTTTCATATGCTCTTTGTTGATGTAACTTTTCTTATCGTACCAATAGGATTAAATGTGAAAATGAATGTAGAAATTGAATGGAAAATATTTTCGATCAGAATAACGCTTTTATATCTGGGCATGCCAAATTTGTTCAATTGTTAATATTTCATCCCAATATGTTTATTTGTTATGAATTTGAAAGAATTGAAAAAATCTTATAGTTGAGATTCCTATACTGGAAGAACCTTTTATAATTTAAGCATGAGATATTCATTACGGTTTTAATCGAGTTCCTCGTTTGCTATAAAAATCAAAAGCAACTTTTTAATCCCTTTTTTAATTAATTATTTAAAACAAATTTTATTCTGATAAAAGCCCCTACTTTGCATTGAATAATATCATCGCCAGTCCACTACATAGTATATGTGTTTGACTATCCACTATTGCTATGTAAGAGAACTGTGTAGTTAATCCTAAGTAGGGCTTGGTCTTAAAGAATCACAAAATGAAAACTGAAATTTAGATGGGATAATCCATTCTATTTCTATAATTTATTAACACCAGCAAGATACGGATATGAATATTGAGAGGCTACTCTCTCACATTGTTAAAAACATACTATTAACACAGTATTCCAGATCTTTAATAATGTAAAGGCTATCGGCGCGTTGACTAACGTGGTCAATGAATTGTCACATTAAGCGTGCAATTCTGCCACATATGTCGATTACATTGATTCTGCTACGGATATTTTTATTGCTCTTATTCTGAAACGTTATTACACGAACTGTGATAAGATCTTGCTTTCAAAATATTTGATTAGAAGTTATGTCGCATCCTAAAGAATGTCGCACGATGAACCTATTTATAATGAATATAAAAATATAATTCATTAATTAACTTTCAAACGGAAGCTTATAATAAAATTCCTTGTAAGAAATTTAAAAAATATGAAGAAAAGAATTTTTATTTACTCAACACAGAATAAATATTTATATTCAGGCTTCACTGGCTCGAGACTGTTAATTATGAAAGGAAACCACTGTTTACTATAACGGATATTTTAATTTTCTTCGCACAATCTGAATATTTAATAAAAACATTTACTTTTATTCTTCCTTAAAACATTATCACCTATTTTTAGCACTTCTCTATAAATTTATGTTATTTTTGTATAAATTTTCTCTAATTCAGCTTTTTTATTGTACAATATATATACTCGTAAATATAATTTACTGAGATGTTCTACTCATGATCGTTCGGTTTTGCAATAATAATGTCACGCATTTGATAAACCAATTAACATATTGTTGAATGTTCCAATATTTTTTTTTCATATGTTTAGTTTTAAAGAAACATGAATATAATATGTATCTTCATTCGTTGATTCACTATGTTATTTATAGCTTTTAAAATCTACATATATTTCAAGTGAAACCTGTAATCTTAAATATACTACTGAAGTCTTTATCTTTTACTGTAAAAGTGGTGAGGCTTTTGCTCTTTTATTTTTAATAATTCCGATATGTTGTTTGATATAGTCGTGTGAAGGATGAGTCTAAATAGTTGCTCTGAGAAATTTGCAGAGTACGATACACTAACATAACATCGAATGCTTGTGTATAAAGGGTAGCAGGTATCGAAAACAGGTTTTCTCCCATTTCTTTCCGTTGTTAGCAGGGGATCCAGTGAATGCTCTGTCTTCCCAAGATGGATTACTTCGTCAACAGTGTAATGCCCCGCTAACAGAGTGTCTATGGGAAACAGTATGAAAAAACCTGACGGAGAGAACCGTAAGATAGTAAGTGGATGCCTAAAAACTGTAAGAAGTTTTCAGACATCAATGTAGTCTGCAGTTCAGGCCTCAACTAACAACCTGACCCTGGTTACGTAATCGTGTTTATGAATGCTCATAAACTCTCAGTATTTAATGGTAATCTAATTATTCCAACAAATTTCAAAAACAAAGAAAGTTAAGTTAAGATGAAACAGCACTTTTCGGATTTAGTATTTGTATTTTTTTATTATTCATTACAGGCATGGTTTTGATTAATTAACTACATATCAAACGTGATCACAGGCAGACGATTTGACACAGAATAAATCTATGGATTTATAATATATGCAAAGTTAATTTTATAAACATAGTCTTATTAAATGAATAAATTATTATATATTATTTCAGAACATTATGGTTATTTTAGCTGTTACTTCCAATACAAAATGTTAAAATTTCTTCCTCTATTATAGTAAAGTTGTATAAATAAAGTTATTTCATTATGAATATTTTACTGTGCAATATTATCAAAATGTTCCCTCTGTATAGTTATTCGTATTTCCTAGTATTAATCTGTCATATATAAAATTTTCTCATTTCAATATACTTAAATCAGTGACATTAAATTCATTGTATCTTTCAGACTATATTTCCACTGGAATTTTTATTAAAACAATAGCTCATAAAACTTTGAATATGGCTAAATTACTTTAATTTCAAATATAATGTAGTAATATATTTTGTTAAAATTCATTAGTTAGCGAAAATATATTACTGAAACTAAATATCTATATTTGTTGTAAAAAATAGCATGCTGCGAATGTTTTTTTTTATATTTTTAAATTGCGCCTTTAAATGTAAAATAAACTTTCGCGAAAATCTAAAAATATTTAAAAGCTTTCGTGCTCGTAGTTTTTTCTCCGAACTTTCTCAATATAAATATTGTCTCACAGTTATCTAGTGAGGTAACTATTTTAACACGATGCCACCTACTCTGTAGGCTACAGCTGTGGGAAGCTAGAATACAATTTAATTTTCTATTGCTTCTTTTTTAACCCTTTTGTATAAAATAGCCTTCTTGTGCAATAAAAAAATGGATAACAAAATATTATTATATTTGCAATTTTCCAAGTTCAAAGGAAAGGACAATAAATATAATTGGGCTTTTGAAAAAAAAAAGTATTGATTTTTTTTATGTATTTTAAAACTTTATTATTAGGTAATTATATTGATTTTTAATGCAAAAAACTTGAAAAAAAATTTATTAATTATAAACAATAAAAAATTGATAAAATTCAAAAAAAAATCACGTGACTGTAAGCGCGCCATGATTGGTCGCCATACTTGTGACGTCATAATGTTAAAGCAATTTCATAATAGTACAGTGTTTATGGCTATTATCTTTGACTTGATAAAAATATCTCAAATTTATTAGTGAAAAACGATTTGAAAAGTTTACTTTGACTAAGTGTGATAAAGGATTTATAAAAGCAAAATCGGATAATATTCCTGATGTTGATATATTTAATATAACTAATTAAAAAAAAAATGACGTTCGGTTTAATTCTGCTGAAGTTCGAGGTGCTAAGGCATCAAGGTACACATAACACATACAATAACATTCCATTCTCGAGGAACTCCTGTATACGCCTTTAAATTGTCGTTAATTAAGTAATTTGTGACTTTCAAAATTTCAGCTTTTTTTACAGGAGATTGACAGCTGCTAGAATCCATAGTACTTGAGCCAGTATTTTCGGAAGGTTCATAAATTTCTTGTGAACTATTTGAATGTGTAAAACTACTTAATGACAAACTTTTCTGGGCATCGAGTAAATTTGAAATTGATTTTTGACGCAGTGGTTTTATTGGAGATGTTGCAGTACTAATGCTACCAGTTTTAATCGGTGAGCAGGATTTATCAACTCCAGTTGATAAAATTTTACATTGAACTGCCACACTACGATACTTAGGACGATTATTCACTTGTACAGCAACGGTACGGTTTTTAATATCAGTTTGTGTTTCAACACTAACTTTTTGGTCAGGTGTTAAATTTACAGGAGCAGAATCAATGTCAATATGTTCAACAGTGTTAACTGATACGGCATCAATATTTGGTTCTTGAGCATTACCCGTTTCATTATTTTCTAACGATTCACTTAAAATTTCTTCAATGATTTTTTGTCTCCGTCTTTTTTCTGCAGCTGATCTAATAAGAGTCATTGAAGTGCCTTGTCGTTTACAATTGGGTTGACATTCAATCTTTGCTTTACCTCCCATAGTGGTATAATGAATATAATTTTCCATATCATCTTTTGGCTAGAAAAAAAATTCGTAAGAATTAATAAAATGTTATTATAACATTATAAAAAACCAAAATAACATATACTTTAAAAATTTAAATGTAGTCTGATACAGAACCTAGAATGTTATAAAATTATGAAAATATCTATTAATTGAATTCCAATTATTAGACAAACATACATATAGATTTACTATTTAATCGCTTTGAATTATCAATTAAAAAATTTTGAATGCTACGATTCTAAAGGTTATGATTTGGAGACCAGGTAAAAAAATTAATTACTGAACTATACTTTTTATACACTAATTACCGATTTATACACTTAGATAAATAATAAATAATAACAATATTATTATGAATACTTACATCGAAATGATCTTCACAACAAAAAAAAAATTGATTTTGTTTTTGAATAATCTCGGTGCACTGCTTGAAACCATTTCTTTCGACGTTTTTCGTCTTGTGGAACATTTAAAAACATTTTTTCAGGAGTTGTTTTTGTAGTATTTGTACATAATGGTACAAAACAAGAGCGATAACTTTTGAGTTTTGACATTTTTGATTATTTAACAATGCCAACAGAATTTACTAGATAAAAACTCAAAACACTGTACTAATTATTATATCTCTGTATGCTACAATGAGCGAAAACTAACATTGTGACGTCACACGCGCTCGGGTTTATTCGGGAGCTGTCGGCGGATCTTCGGTACTGAATTTAAAATTTAATTTTTATTTTGAAATAACTTTTTAATTATTGCAAAAAAAAAATAAAATAAAAATAGCTTTGTTATAAACCATATATATGATCTTTCCATTTATCACAAAAAAATAATAATTCAAAAACCCCATTCAAACCATTACCAAATTTACTTTCATCAAAATGTAATAGTATCTAGGATTTTCGCTAGTACACATTTAAATGGTATTTTAATTTTCAAATAAATATCGATAAAAATCAGGCATAGAGAATTTTTCTTTAACAAATACAAATAATAATACATATACAAATAATTCAAATATATTTACGTTAATAAGTTATATCGGTCAAAATCCAGGACTTTATACAGTTTTTATTATTTCAAGGACCACACTGTCCCGACGTTATGGTTCCTTTTGCAGGAATCAACATATGATTCATTATTAATTTACGTTAAATTTATTTTTTTATTTAAATTATAACATTAGTATCTAACAGTTAAGAATGTAAATATTATTTTTTCAAAATATATTCCTGAACCTGATTATAAATACAAATCAATTTTATATAATCTATTGAATCGCTTTTGCGGCTTCATAAATTCCCAGCGTTCGGAGCCAAAATTAGTCTAATGGAAACGATTATCAATTAGGAACTGAACTTTTCATGTTCTGCGGACACTGTTTATATAGTTTATGATAATTTAAGTTACGATATAATAGAGTAATCCTATTGTGATCAAAGTTTTTCTTTTTATTCAAAAATTTTAATGTTTTTTTTTGGATGTTTACATTTAAAACAGGCGGGAATTTTGTATGATATAAGTATTAACTACCAGCACCACTCTTGTTTGGCCTCTTGGTCATTTAATCTGTAGGGAACCGAATAATGTACAACAACCTCAATTATGTGACTTGAATTGATATTTCTCTACTCTTTGTATACTTCACTACTTTGTGTAGGACAAATTCATGGACAAAAACCTACTTCACTCGTAGTCCATAATGTAAGCGTTGATATATAGAAATTTTTTTAAATAATTTCTTTGGAGATACATACTCTTGTGCATTTATTGAGTAACGCGTCTTCATCCTGTGATAGTCGATATATCCGTCACTATACCAATTTATGTGAATCTATATCAACGAATCTCATGTTCAATACAATCGAAAGGATTCTTATTTCTGTGAATGAAACAAAAAGTTTGAATTGTACATAGATCCTCGACTATAAAAGATTATTATGTATAATGAACATCAAAATTTAAGAAACTTATTTCAAACTTTCATGCTATTTATATAAAAAATTGAAGATATTAGAACATATTACACTTTGTTTCTAAATGCCAAATTAATAGATTATTTTTTGTGGAGATATGAAAATTAACATACAATTTGAACATTTGTCAATAAGAATATCTATAATAATAATTATATATTTAAATAAAATTAATAAAAACTCGTCACCGTTTTTCTTAAATCATAAATTTAATTAATAAAAAGTTAAAAGAATGTAGCATAATTGACATTGTTAAAGTTGGATTACTGAAATAAACGTTACAGACCAATTATTTTAATGAAGATACTTTCAATTAACACTTAACATTAAAATACGTGTTTATCCAAAATTCATTTGTAATTGGTTTAATTTATATTTTAAGTCTTTTTTGATTCTTACAAAAATTTCATTAATTAGGCAATCAAACGTAGTATGTAATTAATGGAGGCATAAACAAGTCAGTGTGAGTGTTTAAGTTGATTTTTTTTTGTTATTTTGATTTCTTTCATTCGCTTTTCTGTGTTTCTCTTTATTTTTGCTGTAAATAAATTTAATTTACTTCTTATGTAACACAGAGAACAAACGTAATGTTTGTAAAATTGAAAAATTATTATCAATTGCTCTGTTAATGTAAGCCGTTATGAATAGATTCCTAAAAAAATACTTAAAATATAATATTCGATTGAATGAAAAGTTTAAAACGAATGAATTACTTGCCAGAAAATTGATACACAAAATATTCATAAGAAAATGTCTGTTTTTAAAAAAATGTTACTTATAGTGCGTTTGATTTAAGCTGAGTTTTACATTTAAGTAAAATTTTAAGAAATAAACAAATAGATGTGTCTTATATCTTTGATGAGATATCAAGAATATTATGTTAAATTAATTTTCATAATAAAAAAGGCTTTTGAAACTTTAACTGTTTATCTGTTTTTACTAGCAACGGAAGCACTTTCAGCTTAAAGAAGGTCCTTTCCAGTATTCACAAACTAATATAAATTACAAATTTTAAAAATATATATTTTATTTTTTCTTACATTAATTTTAGATGTAATTGTTCCGTTGGTTGTGTTAAAGATGACTTCGAAAACCTTATTAAATAGCTTCCCCGTCATTAAACCTACTGGAACAGTAAATAAAAATGCCTCTAAAGTTGTTATAGCTAAAAATGATCTAAAACAAAAACTTATTATTATTTTTAACATGTATTTGATTATATTTTTAACAACAAGTGACTTAATAATGTAAAATTTTTATCATCTAAAATTAGTCAATACGTGAATACCATTTTGGTATAAGAAAACCAAAGTAAAGAAGATAAACAAGATACGCTCATGTTCAGCCTTATTGTGAAAACGTTTGAGATTTAAACACTAAATAATCCGGTTTGGGATTCTCCAAATGTCAAAATTCTAAAATGTTGTTATTAAAGGGTGAAAACCATTTTCTTATTAAATCTTATTCTTGTATATTTTAATACCATCATATTATTATAGCAGTCTATTAATAAATTTATATTGCTTAGGCAAACATACTGTGTACTTTAAATAATGTCATAGCAATGAGCATAGCCATTATTAATAGCGGTTTCGAATAAGCTACATATGCAAGTTAAATCCCCAGTGAATCAAGAGGAGTGTCGCGGTAAAGCAATTCTCCTGAGAACATAACGGCTGCACCCATAGCCACTAACGCCCAATAAAAGCATCTCAACTTCTGTAAACAACAACGTTTATGGTCCTTCTTTTAAGAGTAAATATAAAAGTTTTATTTACTTTTTGATGGCCAACTGTTAGAATTGACTAACGACTAGCATAGAGCTTAAGTTTTTATTTCTCTATATATACGCTAGATGTTTCCAAGTAGTATTATAATAGTATATTATCTGTAAAAATACTTGTCACGGGGACTGCTTTGAGAAAATTCATTTGATTAAATATTAACGTTGTATCTAAATATCAAATTGTAATCACTTTACTACCGGTTATGTGAATTCCGTGTGTTTCATTAAACAGTGCATATCCAAGCATTCTCTATAATAAAACTGTGTATATTGGTGCGGCCTGTTTTATAACTCTCATTAAATGAGGGATGTGTACCGAATAATGTTCTAGCTGGTCTGAAAGATAAAATACATAAGTAAACTGTAAAATGTTGTTCGGGTCATGAATGTGACCAATTCATATTTGCTAAATTTGTATATACATATACTCTGGGGAAATGATATCTATTGGGTGTTAAACGAGAACGTAAGTATGAGTAAGTAATATTATATAAATAAATAATTATTTATAGATACAATTTGTTTACCACGCAGTCATTATACAACAGGAATTGTAGTAGTTGTTGATGTTGAGCAAATGAAGTCACCACTGACTTCTAGGATGCGTACATATCTCAAACGTTTAGACAAGAAAAATAAATTATATTTAAAAGTAATTTATTAGTAATCGAGTTAAGGAGTTACCTTAACTTGCAGTTGCAAGTACTTTTACACATAGCCTAACTAATAGCAAATCTTCCACAGCTGTTTTAATTTTTTTTGCCCAAATAACACTAAGAGCTATTTTTATACCGAATTTTTTTTTCAACCTGTAACTGTGATTCGTAAAGATATTGTACTTGCTTGTATTATTTAAATAATAGTTTTATCCTACAGTATTTTCGGCATAAAGTTCCATGAAACGAGCTATTCAGAAACCTGATATAAATATTAGATTGTATAGCCAGAATCCCTCTCCCTTACTCTAAATTACATCTCTAAAGAATTCTGAGAAATTTTCAAAGCGTTTTAATAGTAATTATTACTGTGAATTACTTACGAGTTTTGTATCATGGGAATTTATGTAACTACATGAAAATGGATATTGACTGTGAGTCAGCAAAACACCAAACAGAATGAAGATCTCAAGAAAGTTACTGTGTCTCAAAAGATACACTTGGTACCTTTATTTTTAAGCCATTTGTTGTTAAAATTTTAGACATATTTCATAC